CTTAAAAAGCTGGAAAAAATTTATAGAGAAGTAAATCAAAGTGAAAAACAGCAAGACACTTTCACAAAGCAGATACTTGAAATGGGTGAATAATGAATGGATTATATCTTAATATATTTTTAGTTATTATTCACCTTTCGGCTTCCTTTAATATTCTTTCCGAGTGCAGTGGTGACACAATGGAAAGAACCCTCAAGCTCTTTCTATAACTTACTAGTTCAAAAACTCTGGACCAACTTTTGGTCTTTTCCTCTGCTGTGGTACTAGGACTATTTTGTAATTATTGTATTTCTTCTTTATGTTTCTGTTTGCAGAGGCCCTATTCCATCCTTTATTCCTTCCTTCCTCCCCTTCTTCCCTTTTCCCAATTCTGAATTTCATGGAAATCTGTTAACAGTTTTCACCTGCCCCCAGCCCGTCCCTCCATTTTCTTTTCAGTGTACACCCGTCTTAAGTTCTTTTTGTCAGCAGATACTTACCCTGCTTTCTCCTTGGAGTATTTTCATGTGGATATCATGCTGGTTCCTTTGTCTTTATTACTTATATTTGTATTGGAGGAGTTCTTTTTGGAACCACTAGGTTGGAACAGATAATTAGGGATAGTGGGTTGGTGTGTTTCTGGAAGCTTGACTTTGGGTCTGTTTTCGAGTTCTTTTTTAGCAACGTTACCCCATGGGGTTTGACTCTACTTTTAGCTAGCAAGCAAGATACCTGGCTCAGAGCAGAGGGCTCTCTGCTGGGTTTTGTGGCACATGGTAGAACTTATATCGTTTAAGTTGTCTGAGATCAAAATACTCTTTCCCTGTCTCCCTGAAATTTGGTCCAATGTTTACTGTACTTGGTAGCTCTTCTTTATAGATGATTTTGGTTTGTAGGCATCTTCTAGTTTAGTCAAAGATAATGTTTCCTTTTGTTTCTCCTTCTCCCTGTTATTTTTCATGAATCTCAAAGAGAAGAACAGCTTTTCAGTAATGGTTTTTAACTTGTCTTCTGCCTTCATTCTTTTTCATTCTACTCTGTGCGCCCTACCTGATCAGAAGCACAAATGGGAATGTGTGACTGCTTCAGAACCTCACTTCGTTTAGCTTAGAAGGTTAAATTACCAACACTTTGAAATTGACCATTAGGCCCCGTATGAAATGGCCCCTGCCTTTTCTGTCTCTAGTCCCAACCAATTACTCCTTTACATTTTAGCAACACTGAGTTACTTGTCTGCCTGATAACATATTATGAAATTTCCTGTCTGGATTCCTTGTCATATGCCCGTTGCTTTTGCCTAGGATTCTTCTCCTTTCTTACTTAACTAACAAGCTTCTGCTTTTCCTTCCAAGCCTGGCTTACATGGCCCTTGCTTTCTGAAGTCTCCTTTCACTCTTTTAGAACAGAATATGTCTCTCTCCCATGCTCCCTCTTTACTTCATACATGTTTTGATGATTATACTGTTTTCACTGTAATCATGTGTTTACATATTTTTCTCCTTCACTAGATTGAATTCCTTGAAATTGGTATCCTGTTCATCTTTGTATCCCTGTCGCAAGGCACAGGCCGTGGTGCCTAATAGAGTCTCAAATAATAATTATCATCGAGGTTTGAATCATCATAAATAGAAGATTGAAAGTAGGAGGGAGCTTTTAAAGTCCAGGACTTGGGTTTTTGTTGTTATTATTTTACTTTGCTGAATTTGAAAGAAATGTAAATAAAAATATAAAAAAGAAACTTCACACAACAAATAAAACTAAGCAAAATCAAGGGTAGATATTCTGTGGACCGTAATAAAAGACTAGTACTAAGGAAAGAGGTGAGGAAGACCCTTAAATCCTGGAGTTATTTGAATGCTGGTCATAGTTTGCATTATGAGCCCAGATGCTATCTCCTGGATAAAGTATATATGGAGGAGAAATGAACAGTCTGGAACAGAACACAAGTCTTGCAGGTGCACTGGGAAGAATACACAGTGAGCTTGCCTGCATTCCTCAGTTGTCAGGTTGAGGAAGATTATCTATTCCTGGGCTTCAACCTCTCTATTTTAAAAATAAGTACTTATATTGCTGATTTCATGAATTTTCCTCTCTCCTGAGTGAAGTTCTGTAAAACTTTTTATGCCCATTTCCAGCAATAATGGACGATGTGCATGTCTCAGTAGTATAATTTAGTGACTCGTTAAGAGCGAAAGGTGAAATACTGAGTGAGGATTGAAATACTCCATATGTCTTAAAATTCCACAAATCCAGGCGTGTGGGAGACATTCAGCACAGAAAACTCAACATGACTAATCCTTAGAAAACACTCTGAAATTGATAGTTCTTCCCCACTGCCTGGACGTACCTCAGAATGCATCCCCTTGGGACTTGAACGAAGCCATCTGGAATTTTTCAGATTTAATATTAGTGCTTTGCCTTCACAGAAAGCCATCAAAAGCTCTGCTTTGCAAGCCTTCCACCTGAGGCATTTAGTCGTCTGTTGGCATGGATTTTTCTTTGTTCCTATAGCTCTGTGAGAAATTAATTGCAACAGTCCAAGATGTGTTTTTGCTTAATTCCCGTCACAAAACACCAGGGCTGAAGATGTTACCTTGCTGCTGACTCTTTTTGATGCCCAAGGTATCTTAAGAAATTATCTTATTTCAAATATATGCTTCTCAGTAGACTCACCTTCCAGTCCCATTCATCTCTATTCAACACTCTCTCCCCGCCGTGTTTTTTCCCAATCGTTAGATTAGGAAATCTAATCGCAGATTGTGGGTCTCTGCTGCTGGGTGCATTGGATGTCTTTTGGCCCTGAGAGTGCTCACGTTATCCCCATTCTGGAGCTTGGAGCTTATCTCCTCCATAGGCCCTTCCCTCATGGCTGGCCTAGCAGTTGGCAAACCTGTCTGGCAGGTAATTTGAAGGTGACGTGATGACTTTTTTGAGGAGCTCCAGAATGTGTCTGTGTCGAAACACCAGAGTGGTGGTGCTGACATTAATTCAGTTCAACAAATTTCAGGCAGGGGCCCATTCTGTACTAAGTGAGACATGGCCCTATTTTTCTGTTTGCTCACAACTCCGTGGGGAGGACTAGTGTGTGGATGGTATAAAATACGGCACTTCCAAGGAGAGCATAGATTGGCTTCACTTGGACAGGCCAGCTGACTCTGCAGGGGGTGGAAGGGGGGGGCTAGCCTGTAGCCTCCCTGTGCCCATGACCCAGATGTCAGGTTTGCCCCTCCTGGAATCTGGGGACCCTCTGTTGTTTTCACATGCAGAGGCTTACTTGACAAGGCATGTAAAGTTGAAAAGAATTGACACTTTACTAAAAGAAATTCAAGGCTTTCCCTTCGTTACTGCTGTGTCTTTATACTTTACCGATCACTCACATAATAGACGAAAAGATTACCAATTAGTAGATAAAATAAAACATTATCAAGCTTCCCAAAGTAGCTAAAATCTTCCTTCAACCTCTGCACACGCCTACCAAATCATTCTTGCCCCAACATTCATTATCATGTCTTATAAATACCAGTTATATTAAAAACTCTTGTGCTACATGTACCCCAATGTTCATAGCAGCACTCTCCACAATAGCTAAAACATGGAAAGAGCCTAAGTGTCCATCAACAGAAGAATGGATCAAGAAGATGTGGTTTATCTATACCATGGAATACTACATGGCAATGAGAAACAATGAAATCTGGCCATGTGTAGCAACGTGGATGGACCTTGAGGGTGTTATGCTGAGCGAAATAAGTCAGGCAGAGAAGGACAAATACCATATGTTTGCACGTATAGGAGGATTAGGAGGAACTTGACGGAGGAACAAGGGGGAGAAGAAGGGCGGAAATGGTGGGGGAAAGGGAGAGAGGCAAACCATGAGAGACTCTTGAATGCTGACAAAAACTGAGGACTGATGGATGTGGGGGGGAGGGGGGGATGGGCATGAAGGAGGGCACTTTGGGGATGAGCACTGAGTGTTATGTAGAAACTAATTTGACAATAAACTATTTGTAAAAAAAAAAAAAAAAAAAAAAAAAAACTCTTGTGCTAGCCTTTGGTCACGTCCCTGCTTTGGACTCCAGCAGGCTGGTCGTTTAGAAGAGAGGACGCTTCCCAGCTTGTTTCTTGCATTTCCCTTCAAAATTCTGTGTGTACGGAATTGCATATCTCACTTTATCCCAAGGAAAGCATGATCTGGTGGAGTCAAGACTGTGTCTTTCAAGTGTGAGGGGAATTCATCTTCAGGGTTGTGTCTGTACTGTTCAGAGTAACTCAATGAGTAGTCAGCTGAGGCAGAAAGAAAGGTCTTTATTGTGAAGTGTTTGATAAGATGCTTCATTGGGACCTTCCTAACAATTGCGGCTGAGCTTCAAATGGTATGAAAAAGTCATAAGAGCCATTGATTTATAAAAGTTCTGTGAACCCCAGTGGTTGCTGTCTTGCCTCAAACTGGTTCTTACAGGTTTAGAACTATGAGTCCAGCACCCAGAGGGTCTATGTCATGCTCACTCGAACATTCAGTTCCACAAAGAATGGAAACAAAGCCCAATAATGATAAGGGCACATACCATTTATTTTACTTCTGTCTCATTTTTTACCATCCAAGCAGATTTCTTTTTGCTTACACTCCATCTGGTGCTTATTTTCATCCCTGGCATTTTCTCTGGAAGCCTGGCCTTGGGCATTTGGTGATATCACAGGATTCCATCCATTACCACATTTCTCTGACTTTTCTACTTGTGTGTGTTAAATGCAGACTTAACTAAGTTTGTTGCAGTCCTATAACACCATGCAGTGGACTGAAATTATATAAACCCCAATCACCCAACCAATCCAGGTAAGCTTTGAGAGTTATTGATTAGAATGAACTATGCAACCAACAGATTAATTATATTGTCTACTCTATTGACTTTCTATTTAACTGAATTTGGGGGTCTATTTCTAGGAGATTATTCTTGATGGTTATTGTATTTGTAATTATAAGTGTCATTTACAAAACATTTATCATGCTTATTATCTCATTTTAGGTCACCAGTCTCTTCAGAGGATCACGGTAAGAATCTGTCTTATTTATACTAATTCAGGATTAAAAGTTGAGCTCCATTCTTGCGTTTCACTGTCAGAGGCAAGAATTATTTAAGAAAGTGTTTCTAAGATGTTGGCCTTGTATATTTTTTGTGTGTGAAATATCAAGCACTTTTAAAAACTCCATGCATTCTGGCTAAATGTGGTATCTTATATCTTCAAATCTATATGTGACCATTTTGGTTGACAAATATTACAAAGCATAATTTATCTGCCTGATTTCGGCCCCATCCCTGGATACTTTTTGTGATGAGGGGCTAGCCATGTAACATCTCTGAATCACAGATTTATATCTTTAAAATGAGAGTTTGTAGTAGATATTTCCAAAAGTCCCTTCAAGATTGAACGTTGGAATTTGCTAGTGGTGTTATGAGTCTGAAATGAACCTAACTTGTAGTGGTATGAATTATTAACCAGCTGAGGTGAGTTATTTGCATTTGTGACACTATTATTTCATTCAAAAGATAAAACATATAGTATTGCCACATTTAACTTTTGGAGTTGTTCATGTATTCATTCAGTCATTCAAAAATGTTCACTGAGTGTCTACAATGGATCCATCATACTACATAATCATGTTATACAAATATGTTATTGGGGGCTATGTACAGAGACAACGTGGTATGTGACAGAATTTTCCCCATCAAGGAACTTTACAAGTCTTGTGGTGAAGGGGGTGGTGGAATGACACATACCTCCTGCAACATAAAGTGAAATGTGATTAATCTTATAAAAGAGAAATACAACAGTACTCTGAGCACTACTGGCATTCCCCCTCATGCCATCCCCAATTTAGCTATGGGCACCATTATTCCCTCAGCCAGCTAAGTAAAGCACATGAAAGCACTGCAAACTTCCCTCTTCATCCCCTCATTCTGTTTGGCCACTAAATTGTATTACCTCTGGTTGTTTTTTATATTTCTTTTATTTATTTTTATTTTTATTTTTTACAAATAGTTTATTGTCAAGTTGATTTCCATATAACTATATTTCTTTTATCTCTGTTCTCTTTTCCATCCCCATGGCTGTAGCTTGGGGCCTCTCCATGTCTTCTTGGACTTTTAAAATTGTCTTCTGATATCCATGCCCTAGTTTCCTATCCTTCAGTTCACTGTATATTGAGATAGCACCACACTGACCATTCTAGAGCAAAAATCTACTCCCACTGTTTATGGGAGAAAGTCCTATCAGTAGACGAATCATTGTATTCAGCTTTCCAAGATTGTATCTTCACGTGGAATAGGAAAACTAAATGATGAAATCTTTGTCTACCTCTACTGCTTATTGCTTCTTTTGGCCTCTTTTCCCCTTTCTCCTACCCATGCAGTATTATATCTAATTTCTAGACCTCACCATGTTTTCATGTTTCTCTGCTTTTATCAGTGCTATTTTTGTGACAGGAAGCTCCTCCACTGTTTTGCGAGTTACACAGTTTATCCTTACCATGTGATACCTTGCTAATCATCTCATCTTCTGCGAGAGCTTTGTGACCTACTTATCATTTGCAATAAATAGTTTTCTTCTAGAATCTGACACATAAATTTGATGCTTGATTTACCTGTCTCCCCTGCTAGGCTGTGAGTTCTTTGATACAGATCCCAGCAAATAGTCAAGGTTCAACGGATGTTCGTTAAATGAATGAATTAGAACAAAGAGAGGGAGTTTTAGGCAAGTCTGTTCTGCCATATCATAAGATCTCTCATAATACTGAAATGAGGACGTATCACATTCTCCGAAGATCACAGAGCAAATCATGTTCAGACCTATTAAGTAAGAATTAGGAAATCAGTCACCACATGATGACCTATTATGGTATGCTATTTTGCTCATTGGTGTTGGTACCACCAGATTTTTTATTACATGGTTACAGGTCCTTGGGCTTCCAGTTCCAATGACTCAAAGCTGTGTTTTGGTTTTTATTTTGAACTATGGTTCCCTTAAGTGGCTTTTGCTTATTTTGGCCTTCCAGTCTATTAGAACTTATCCCCTATTCCAAAAAAAAGGGGCGTGGGGGGATTTCTGAATTGCAAGTCTTTAGTATGCAAGGAATTCTTAAGGGGCTATGAGCTATCAGTGAGCCTTTGGCAGTGACCTTGAAAGTCCTTGGAAAATTACTACTACCAGAAAGACTTGCTCAGTATGAATAGTACTTCAGAACTGATCATTTTAAGAACTAGTATAACTAGCTCTTAACTAGTATTAAGTACTTAACTAACATTAATAGAACTAGTATTAGTTAAAGAAATATTATCCAAGTGAGAGGGCTTTTTATTTTCATGACTTCAAAAAAATTATTACAAGACCATGCCTCTTAGTTTGATTCTGCAACTTCCAAAAATTTCTGCAAATATGTAATTTGAAATTACAGTGCTGCCTTATGTAATATTATTAATTCTCCATCATCTTCTAGCTCATGTAACCTTGGAAACATATTTTTGTCCTTTTCTACTAGCACTTAAAATATGTTTTCTCATGTTTATGCATTTTTAAGTGTTCATATTTTCTGTGGTTAGAATTAAGCTTCCTGAATATTCTGTCATCAAGCTTACATTTGGACACGATGATGACATTGCAATATGTGTGCTTTTAAGAATGGTAAGAAGTGACACTTTTGCTTTTTCAAACTTAATGATAGAAAAACTGAGGCTTATTGGGCAAATGGATTGTGAAATTGAAATATAAAGCCCCAGGCCTCTTGACTTTCTATTTTATTAGCTTACTGCCGGTGACCTTACTTTTCTCTTCACTCTTAGTAACTGGTTGCTCTGGCTGTCTTCAAAACAGACTTTGTTCTTGAGAAAATCTAATTTTCTGATCCAGTATCCCTGGCATTCTCAATTCCCACAGATTACCTTTCATAGAAAATAAGCTTGAATATCATGGCCTTTCATTTAGCCTCTATTAGCTTCCACTTCCTTATCTGTGAGGTGGAGCAAGTCAGGTTGACCCTGTCTACCTCATGGAATTATGAGTTCAAGGGGGAGATCATCTGTGAAATCACTTTCCAATTTGTTAAAAACACCCCAAACACAACGATATTATTATCCAGGCAGTAAATGAGGAGGTGTGGGTTTATTACTGATATTTACTCAGCATTGCATACTGCCTTTGATAAGTGAAAAGAGGGGCGCCTGAGTGGCTCAGTGTGCTAAGCGTCCAACTGTTGGTTTTGGCTCAGGTCGTGACCTCACAGTTTGTCAGTCAAGCCGTGCATCAGGCTCTGCACAGTGCAGAGCCGGCTTGGGATTCTCTCTCTCTCAAAAATAAATAAGCTCTCTTTCTCTCAAAAATAAATGAACTTTAAAAATAGAGAAGTTAAAAGATGTACTGGGAGTAGAAGAGGAGCCGAAATCTGTTTCCTTCAACATTATCATTAAATATTAAATTTACATTGGAAACCTTTTTATATGGGGATGGGGAAGAGGTAAATGGTTTATACAAAATGTAGCTTATCGTGACAAGGTAAAGACACAGTTCATGATGAGATGCGGAGTCACATAGAAAACTGATCATACAAGGCATAAATGAATGTAAAGTGTTACTATTTGTATAGTATGGAATCAGAGTCATTAAGAATAAAGGCTAAAATTTACTGAGCACTTTTAGTACAGAGGCACGCTGCTAAAATGCTTCAACTCTACGACTTCATTTCATCCCAAGTAGATGTGTTATCCTCACTTTTTTAGTGGGGGAAACAGGCTCACAGTGCCTAACTAACTTGCTTAAGATCACACGGCTAGTAAACAGTAGAGTTAATTTTCAAACCCACTTCCAACATCCAACTCTTGATCATTTATGTCCCCCGTCTCTGGAAAACAAAAGAAAGGATTGTCAGCATTAACGGTAAATTGATAGAATTATGGAGGAAAAGAAAAAAACTCCCTCTAACAAGAGTTTATTTACTACTGTGTAAGTCATCTCTTTTTAATGACAAAACAAAACAGAACAAAAATAACAACCTGTCTCCCCTGCTGGGAATGATTTGTCCCTGTAGAAAAAGTAAATACCGATGTCACATTCTCTCATAATTAGTTAACTGAGTGAAACCGAAGCTTCGGGGAAACTTGCCACACTAAATCCCAGTGGAAACATTACAGTTTAATGTTACAGCTGCAGGCTGGAGTCCTCCCCTTTTCAGGAGATAAGCTTGGCAGTGATAGATCGCCCTGTCCTCAGAGTTCCCTTTGCATTTAGTGCCTATCACCTCATCGTTTAAATTGCTCCAGGAGCCACCTCCTGTGGCTTTCTGCTTTGCCTGAGCCCTCGGATTCTGTCCCGTCATCTCAGCCTGCTTATTGTATGGGCCTCTTAGAATGCCTCCCTCCTGACACTGCCGACGCCAGTGCACCGGCAGAGTCATCTTCCAACTAGTGACTGTTCACTTAAACATACAGAACAGTAGGGGAGCTTGGGTGGCTCAGTCGGTTGAGTGTCCGACTTTGAATCAGGACATGATCTCACCATCCGTGGGTTCAAGCCTTGCGTTGGGCTCTGTACTGACAGCTCAGAGCCTGGAGCCTGCTTCGGATTCTGTGTCTCCATCTCTCTCAGCCCGTCCCTGCCCCCCCCCCCAAATAAACAAACAACAACAACAACAAAAATGCAGGACAGTAACTGACTCTTTTATTTATTTATGTGTTTATCTCTAAGTTTATATGTTTATTTTAAGAGAGAGAAACAGCATGAGAGTGGGAGATGGAGAGAGAGAGAATCCCAAGTAGGCTCCATACTGCCAGCTGAGAAGCCCGATGTGGGGTTCGAACCCACAGACAGTGAGTGCAACTGACTCTTTAGCAAGGAAGTACCAGCAACCTGTTTGATTCCCCTGGAATGTCTCAAGCAGGCATCTCCATACTGTCTTACCTCCTAGACCTGTTGGCAATAATGGCTCTTACAGTGTATGGCAGCATGTTTTTGTTTCAACAGTAACACAGTGGACAAGGATGGAAGTAATGGGTATTTGGAAGT